CCCTCTCTCTGGCTCTCCTCTCTCTGGCTCTGTCTCTCTCTCTACTCTCTCTCTCTCTCTGTCTCTCTCCCTCCCTCCCTCTCCCTCTCCCCTTCTCTCTCTGTCTCTCTTTGTCTTGCTCTGTCTCACTCTCTTTCTCCCTCTCTCCCTCCATCTCTCTGTCTGTCTCTGTCTGTCCGTCTGTCTCTCTCTCTCTCTCTCTCTCTCTCTCTCCCTCTCTCTGTCTGGCTCTCCTCTCTCTGTCTCTCTCTCTCCCCCCTCCCTCTCTGTGTCTCTCTGTCTCCCCCAAACCCCATGCGTCAACATCTACCAGAGAACCAAAGGAGCTTACAGCTGTCAGAAAAGCTACCACCCTCAGCTTACAAGTAAAGGGCAGGGTATGACCAGCCCTCCAGCAGCCAAGATTGGCTTCTGGAGTAAAGCAGTATGTTAGGATGAACTGAAACAACAGTAAGTGGAAGCTTGGTGGGCACTAAGCCGAGCGGGACTCAGCCTAAAGTGAGAGGATTCACTGGCTGTCTGGCCCTAGTCTAAGACATAGAACCATAAAAAGCTCCTAGCCTTCCCTAGGAGAAAGTTCTTTGTAAGGTGTGTCTACAAAGAGTTTGGAAGGAGTTAGCAGAGTTTTACTACCTTAGACAAAATTTTTACCATGAAGTCTGAATTCATCAAAGTTAATAGCAAAATTTTAGTGGTTCTTAACATATTTTTGCTCCCTGGCAAGATGCATGAATCATAGAAATACGATTTTTAAAGAGTTTGTTTAAATCAATTTCAATATGAGTGACTATGTCTCTGGATTAGTAAGCAAATGGCAGGGAAAAAAACAAACACAACCTTGTGACATTTAGAAGATAAAGGGCAAAAAATAGTGGATGTGTTTGTTTTTGTTTTTGTTTTCTTTTCTCAGAAAGCAAAATCTAGTCATTTTGTTTCACAGTCCAGTATGATTGTGTAAGGACCGCTGCCTCGTGGCATGTCCATGCGGTCTTCTTCATCGGCTGACAGCTGTGGCGAAAAGCTGGTTTGGCTTTAGAAGTGTCCTTGTAGCCCTCGTCTAGGTTCATTTCTCCTCGGGGGTACAGCTTCTTGATAGGCGTGCGATAGCACACTGTGATCAGGCAGGTTCTGCTCGAGCAGGCGGACAAGCAGGCAGGGCTGGTCCTGCCTTCCTGGGGGCTAAGGTTCCTGAGCCAGGGCCCAGAGCACTCCCGAGTGCCACGTCTTAGCCACAAAGTGAGAGGCTGGACAGCGGCCCCCCAGGTCCCTTGTGACTCTGCTGAGGACTCTGCCTCTGAAAATTCAGCATTCTTACCTCTTACGCATGACATTTTAGAAAACCTAGGTCACCCAAAACGAAAAGGAGAGGTGTACTGATAAATTCTGCAACATCCCCCACACCTGCAAGGCTAAGCTTTACAGAGAGTGAAAGAAGTCAGATATAAGGACTGCATGTGACTCCCCTGGTGGAGGTGTGGGGTAGGCAACACACACAGGCAGGAAGCAGGTTATTGGCTGCCAGGGCCTGAAGCAAGGGATGATGGGAAGTAACTGGCATGACAATTCACAGATCTGGGGATTCTCTGGGATGATATGATGGGCTACTGGAAATTATGGTGATTGTTAAAAGAACTAACAAAAAAAAATGATTCTACACTTTGAGTGGATGAATTGTATGGCATGTGAATTTTATCATAATCATTTTAGAAAAGGAAAAAGAAAACTTGGAAAGCAAAGCAAAGGTCAGCAAGATAGCTCAGTGGACTAAGTGCCTTCATAGGCAAGGGGCTGGGGTTCAATCCCCAGCACCATATACTGCTCGGGCCCCACCCCTGGGTGCGTTAAGCAGGCCTCAGAGACCAGGCGTGGTGGTACACACTTGTAATTCCAGCGCTGGGGAGGCTGAAAACAGGAGGATCAATACAAGTCCAAGCTGTGTAGTGAGACCCTATACCAAATACATTAAAAAAAAAAAAAAAGCACACTAATAAACTAAAAATCACCCAGAATTAATCCTACCATGCAGATAACTGGTACTTTTTTTTCTAAAGAGGCTTGTTTATCTTTTATTTCAGTTGTTTTGCTTTTTTTTTTTTTTGGAACCGGGGATTGAACTCAGGCCCTTGCACTTGCCAGGGAAGTGCTTATTCCACTGAGCCATCTTCCTGGCCCATTGTTTACCTTTTATAATTGCAAAAATAATATATGCTCATCAGAACAAAAGTCAAACAATTTAGAAATGTTTACTTAAAGAAAAAAGTGAGAGTGGCTGGGGAGATAGGTTGGCAGTCTAAGTGCCTGCCTAACAAGTGCAAGGACTTGGGTTCGGTCCTGGTACTGCATACTGTGCTGGCCCCAGAACCCTGGGCACACTGTGCCAGCCCCAAAATCCCAGGCATGGTGGCACATGCCTGTAATCCCAGTGCTGGGGAGGCTGATGCAGGAGGATCACTATGAGTCTGAGCTATGTAGAGAGACTCTGTACCAAATAAATAAAGAAATTAAAGATTAAAAACAAATTTCAAAAAAAGGAGAGAGATACTAAAATCTCACCACTGAGAGATAAACATTTTAATAGATTGTTGTGTATGTTTCCAGATTTTTAAAATGAATATATAGGCATATAAATCAGTTTCTAGGGCTGGTGAGATGGCTCAGTGGTCTAAAGCACCTACTTAGAACAAGCTTAGCAAAACACAGGGACCACGGTTCAATCCCCCAGCACCATATGTCAGCCAGTCCTGCCCCCTGGTGGGCTGAGCTCACCACACACACACACACACACACACACACACGTAAATAAATAAATTTAAAAATAAATAAATAAATCAGTTTCTACAAAACACAGGATAATACCATAAATACCGCTTTTTTAAAAAAAAAAATTATGTATTTGGAACTCTCTACACGGCTCAGACTCATAGTGATCTTCCTGTCTCAGCCTCCCCAGTGTTGGGATTACAGGCGTGCACCAGCACAACCAGTCTCAGTGTCCAGCTCAGTGTGCCCGGGGGTGGGGCAGCGTAGTATGTGGTACCAGGGATCGAACCCTGATCCCTGTGCTTGCCTAGGCAGATGCTTAGCCCACTGAGCTATCTTGCTAGCCCTTGAATAACACTTTCAATTTTTAAACAAAATATTTGTAGCTAAGTAGGTTGGTGTGCACCTATAATCCCAACTACATGGGAGGCTGAAAGAGGATTACAAATTCAAGGCTATCTTTATCAACTTAATGAGACTATATCAAAATAAAACATATAAACATTTTTATGAATATTCCTCCAAGAAAACATTTATAAAAATGTACATATGCTATTTAGTGAATATCTGGCTCTCATTTGAATCAAATCAAGATCTATGTTTATAACTATTCTGGAATCCACTCAAATTATTTGCTGTTCAGTCAGTTGGATAAATTCTAAATATCCTTGATTGCTTTTTTTTTTTTTTCAGATTAACCTGGATGTGTTTTATTCTGTGAAGTATGAAATCAAGGAGGGTGACTGTCCCATCCAAAGTGGCAAGACCTGGCAGGATTGTGACTACAGGGACGCCGAGGAAGCTGTGAGTGTGTTGGCGATTCTCAAGCCTCCAGATCTCTCCATTGGAAAGCTGGATTTATTTTGTAAAATTCACTAATTTTTAAAATGGATACATAAAAGCGTCACAACTGTGCCCACCAAGGGGACGCCACATGCTACAGTTTTAGATGAGGTCAGGCACTGCTGTCTCCTCAGCCCGATTCCTTCTCTGGGACAGCGACACTCAGCCTTGTTCTGCTAGCTGCTCGGCACGTGCAGTGCCCGCTGCGCTCCGTAGTCGGCCTCCTTTGCGGCAGTGCCCCAGAGCCTGTCCTTCTGTCTAACCATAGCTCACGCGCACTTACCACCCTCCCTTCCCATCTCCCCCTGCCCCTAAGCATACTGTTTGTCCTTCAGCTTCTGAGACCAGCCTTTTCAGTGTCTGCACGCGAGGGTAGCTCTTTACCTTTCTGTGCCCGACTTACTTCACTAGACATGTTTTCCACTTCCATTCTGGTTGCTGAAATGACAGGGCTTTACCCTTTTCACGGCTGAACAGTATTTCACTGTGTGTATGTGTCGCGTTTGCTTGACCGTTCAGCAGTGGTGGATTGCATTTGACTTGCCCAGGGGTAATTACTATTGCTGAGCCCTTTTCCTAAGGCCATACGTAAACCTTTCATGTGCAGACGCTGGACACGTGTGTTCTTGTATAAACAGAAAAATCATAGCCAAGCCCCAGTGAAACATGGTGAAAGCCCTTCCACAGGGCTCCAGTCCAACCAGAACGAGTGAGTCACACCCCGGAAAGGCAACGAAGCAAAACTGGGACTAAGCTCGAGGTCTGGCAAGGGGAGGGTGCGGGCGCTCTGGCTGCACAGGCCTGGGGATGGACAGATCCTGCCTTTGCTTCTGGCTAGGGGGTGACAGCCAGCAAGTCACTTGAGCTCTCTGAGTGGAGGCTCTTCCCACCCAGGGGAGAGAGTGCAGACCCCGTTGGCTTGTTGGAGGATGAAGTGAGATAAACACACAAAGGGCTACTTTAGCCAGATGCCCAAAACATGCCCGGCGTGGCCGGAGAATAGCGTGGCCTCTTTTAGTGGCCCATGTAGTCCCCACTGTGCCAGAACATCTGCATCCTGTTTATGGTTTGGAAATGACAGTGGCTCACAGTTGTGACACAGCCCTGGCCTCCCAGTGATGGAGCAGGAGTGTGGGGCTGGCTCTGTCCCCCAGTGACCTCACTGGCAGGTGGGAGGATTAGATAGTGTGTTCCCCACTGGGTCTCTCAGGGCTGGGCCAGTGAAGAGAAGGTTGCTTTATTCCAATAAAACACTGGCTGTCACTTAGAAGTGTAATGACCATGACAAAAGAATAACAGGAAACAAAAGAAAAAAAAAAAAAAACACTGTTCAGGTCAGGTACAGTGACCCAGTTGTTCAGGAGGCTGAGAAGGAAGAATCGCAAATTTGAGCCCAGTCTGAGGAATTTGGTTCAGTGGCAGAGGACTTGCTTGGCCTGCACGAGGCCCTGCCTTCACTTCCCAGCGCTGGGCACAAACGCCACTGCTCACGACAACCAGGGTACAGGTGAGGCTTATTAAGTGTCTGTGGTATGGTGGCCTCGGCTAGAGCCGGGCAGCACTGCCACCGTGCTCTTCCTGATGGGTTAGACGTAAGACATCCAAACAGTATCCATCAGCCACCTCCGAGAGGCAGAGGAAGGGGAGAGCTTCGCGGGCAGGGTCTGAGAGCTGCGAACATCGGAGGAAGAGAAGTATGTCCAGAAGCAATCACTGATGTGTTGAGCTGCCCCATGTGTGCTGCCTCTCTGCTGCTGTGCCGTGCGTATCGGTACCCTGCAAGAAGAAAAATCACTAGAGGGCAGAAATAGTCATGCTTAAACTTTTTTTTTTAAGAAAAGAAACACTTCCCCCCTTCTTCCCCCCCCCCCATTTATCTATTTGGTACAGAGTGTCACTACTCAGTTCAGATTGGGATTGAGGATCAAATTCTGGTCCCGGCACTTGCCTAAGCAGGTGCTTAGTCCACTGAACTCTCTTGCACATCCTCCCCCTCCTTTTTAAAGAAAGTCGTATTTATCAATGGTGCTATGTGGACTCCTCATTGGAAGTATTAGGATAAATGTCCTCTTGCTTCTCTCTTAGGCCACTGGAGAATGCACAGCAACGGTGCGGAAGAGGAAGAATAACAGATTCTCTGTGGCCGCCCAGACCTGCCATGTTACTCCAGGTAGCTGATGTGACCGGTGGCCCTGCCCTGGGGAGAAGGAGGAAGTAACTATTCCTGTGTGCCAGAAACAGCCTACGCCAGGCTGCTGCTCTCTGGCAGAGGGTGCAGTGTGGTGTTGGGGCGCACGGGTACACAGGTGGGGTGCAGGAGCCTGAGGTAGGGCCGCGCATGTGCCAGTCCTTCCCTCGGAACGCTCTCTCCCTCACTCACCAAGTGTGTCAGGCAGGAGCAGGGGGCCTCCCGATGGAGGAGCAGGCCCCTACCTGTCTTCACTTGCAAACAGCGTCCTAGTGCCTTTCCCCTTCTTCACTTTTCCTTCTTTAGAAAGAGAGGTAACAGTACTCCTCACCTGACAGCGGCATTAAAGCTGAAGAGACATGCATTTGCCTGAAGGCACAGCGCTGGCAGTCAGGATAATACGCTAATAAGAATCTGCATTAAGATGTTGGTTAGCACACACCAGCCCTGCGCCAGCCGCGGACCTTGGCCCTTTACTGCACTACTCCATGAGGCAGATATTAGAACTCCCCCCAACACACACGTTTTGTGGTACCAAGACCGAACCTGGAACCTCCACACTGGGCTGCATCTCCAGCCCCTTTTTAGTTTTTACTTAGAGAAGGGATCTCTCTAAGTCACCAAGTTGCCTAGGCTGGGCTCGAACTTGTGATCCTCCAGCCCCAGCCCTGCCACCAGTTCTGGGATTACAGGCGTGCACTTGCCTGAAGGCACAGTGCCTGGCAGTCAGGATAATACGCTAATAAGAATCTGCATTAAGATGTTGGTTTGATACCCCTATTTTTCAGATAAGGAAACAACCCGACAAAAGCTAAGCAACTTGCCCAAGACCCCTACATAGTAGTGGATTTGGTAGAGTAGCCCCTCAATAAATGAAATTCCTTACAAAGGTAATTATGAAACAGCTTATCAACAGACACAGCTACCATTAGCTCTGCCAAATCCAGGGGAACAGGCATCACCAGGCAGGCGCTGGCGGTTCCCAAAGCCTCCCATGAGGTGGCCTCTGCCAGCGGGGTTCCAGTGCGAGGCTTAGAGCATCCATGTCACCTCCTATGTCCCCACAGTGCCAAGGATGAGGTATGCTGGCCTCAGTTGTCTGTTCAGAGCCCTCAGAGTTGTATCCCTAGAGTTCTGGGTCTTACAAGAGGTTGCATGAAAAAAATAAACATAAAAACAGTCTAAGGAAGAAAACAGTTCCCAAGTAATTAGAAATCTTTATTCTGATTTTTAAAAAAATCTGTGCAGTAGCCTAGTGTGATGGTGTACACCTGTAATCCCAACTACTGAGGGGGATTGTGGGTGATAGCTTTGGGACCAGCCTGGGCAACTTAAGCCTGTCTCGAAATAAAAAGAATGTCCCCCAGGGGGTGACCAGCAGCAAACCTGAGCAGGCACACACCACACCACCCCTGCCCTGGGGACAAAGGGAGAGGTACAAAAATCTCTCTGGCATGAAAAACCATGCTGTCAGCCAGAAAAACAAAACGCTCATCTTTCTCTAAGCTTCTCTGGAGTCAGGCGGTGGCTTTTTTCTCTCTCTTCTCCATCTGAATCCAGCCAGCCTGAGACGAGGTAAACTCTGCGATCCTCTCGCAGTCTTCCCTTTTTCCATAGTCACCTTTTCCTCTTTTTTCTTCCTGATAAGCACCAGGGATTCTCCCACCTCTCCCACGGAAATCCTCTAGTTTTTGACCTTGGCCCGGTACCCTGGCTCTGCATTCGCATCTGAGAGGAGAAGGGAAGAAAAACCCACGCAGATGCCCAGTAAGCATCTTTCTGACACTCGAAGGAGAGGAAGGCAATAAAGGGCAAGGAGGCCAGCCCCCGGGGCGCCGACCCCTGAGGGCAGGGGGTCCCACATGGTAGCTCTCCAATAGTGTTTGCCTCTGTGTATCCACTCATGGAGGGGACCCTGGGCTGCCCTCTGTCCCCAGGGACACAGCTCCCTGCAGCCGTAGCCTGCAGCCTGCGTGTTTGCCCCTACGGACCAGCAGGTTAGGCTCCCTGTTGAAAGCAATGCTTATGCTAGAATACTTAATCATTTGGTTCAGGGTCTCTCTACACAGCTCAGACCTGCTCTGATCCTCCTGTCTCAGCCTCCCCAGCACTGGGATTGCAGGTGTGCACTGCCATGCCTGGTTTCGGTGGCCAGCACTGGCGCGTCCAGGGCCAGGGCCAGCACGGTACGCAGAACCAGAGATTGAGCCCTGGTCCTTGCACTTGCCAGGCAGGCACTTGGACCGCTGAGCCATCTCACCAGTCCCCATGATATAATTTACTACAAACTTTTTCAAATATCTTACTTCCCTTTCTCAGAATCCCACCCGCAATGCCTCTACGAACAGTGGGCCATTCTCCACACACTGTCAAGGGCACCTGACCACCCTGGCATTCTATGGGGAGTGTCGAGTGTGTCTTCTCCCTGGGGAGGAGCCCACAGGATGCCCAGCACCTCCCGACACCTGGTGACCTCTGAGCAGTCAGCCGCTCCCGGCCTTGACCGAGGCCCAGGCCCAGTGGCCCAGCACCACCTCTCTCGATGATTCCCAAAGCTTTGATAAAATGTGTTCACGGCTTTGCTGGGATCCACTCATCTGGCTTCTCAGGAGCCCTCCCTCCCTGTCCCCAGCCCCTCACACCTTGTATTGACACCTCCTGTCACCTTCATCCTCCTTAGCTCAGGCATCTTCATCTCCATCTTTTCCCTGATGACACTCGGGGCTCCTGTCTTTCCAAGAGCTTGTGAATCATACTGAAGTGACCCAGCTCCTGTTCTGTCTCTCCACTGCTGTCAGCTGCTTCAGAGCAATGACCGCTCCCAACACACTGACGCTTCCGCCCAGCCCAGGCAGCAGCTGGCACGTGACAGCAGGGCCAAGCTGCGGAGGAGGACGTGCGGCCAGCCACTCTTTCTCTGGTGCATGCTGCGCTACCTTTACACGCCTTTGCCTGCCGTGCAACTCACAGGAGAAGGCAGAGCAGCCTTCCTGCCAGCCACAGAACTGCCGGGCATTTCCCTCCTGTTGCTGGTTATTTTAGGTGATGAAACCTTAATGTAAATACCTAACTTTTTTTTCTTTTTGAGACAGGGTCTCGTTGTGCAGCTCAGGCTGGCGTTGACCTCATTTTATAGCCCAGGCTAGTCTGGAATTCACAATGATCCTCTTGCCTCACTCTTCCGAGTGCTGGGATTACAGGGATGCACCACCACATCTGGCAAAAAAAAAAAAAAATCTACCAAATTTTATCAGTGCTGTGTGATGTGACAAATTGTAAAATAAACATGTGTTCGGGCTCTTTTTACTTCTCTAATAGCAAAGCGCATGTTTATCATATTATACATTATTTCTCAGTGTTAATGGGATTTCCTTGAAGTTGGATGCAGGGTTTGATATACTTTATATCAATCTGATATGATAAACATGTCCTTTGCTATTAGAGAAGTAAAAAGAGCCCGAAGACATGTTTATTTTGCATTTTTTCACATCACACAACACTGATAATCTCATGTATTTGCTACAGGGTCTCACTACACAGCTCGGGCTCATAGTGATCCTCCTGTTTTCAGCCTCCTCAGCACTGGGATTACAGGCCTGTGCCACCACGCCTAGGCTCAGTCCAGATCAGTGTGCCCCGGGGGTGGGGCCGGCCTAGCATGCAGGACTGGGGATCGAACCCTGGTCCTTGCGCTTGCCAAAGCAGGCACTTAGTCTTCTGAGAATGTTATAAATTCTTACAAAAGGTTAAATTCATGTACTGCTTTCATAACTAAAAATATTTTAAGATACATTTAAAATAATGTGCATCTATTGTGCATATAAAATGTTCCTGAGTGATTTTTTTCCTCTGAATTTTACAATGCAATCTTGTAAAATTTACAGTCTATCTTTTTACAGTCTATCTAAGGTTTCCTGGAAAGCTTGTTTATCGGTTAACTTCTTGGCTCTAAGCTGAGGTCTCTGCTCACTGGCTTTGGGTGCTAACTCTGCCTTTTTGCCTGCTGTTTGTCAAGCGAGGGGCCCTGTGGTGACCACGGAGTACGCCTGCTTGGGCTGCATGCACCCCATCTCCCCCGAGAGCCAGGAGCTGGAGCCCATCCTGACACACGCCATCCAACACTTCAACAACGACACCAAGCACGCCTACCTCTTCACTGTCGGGGAGGTGAAAAGAGCCCAGAGACAGGTTCGTGCTTCTCACATCCATTTGTTGTCTCTTTATATTTAACACTGAAAACTAAATAATGAAGAGGACGGAGGGTATGAATCCTCACTGTGCCCTGTTCCGTATCACACTACCTGATCGTACATATCAGCAATGTTTTATATTTATCTACAAGGAGACAGTCAGGTACTGCTTTTATAACTTGAGATACCTTAAGGAACTTTAAAAGAATGAGGCCTGATATCCTGCCCTTGCAATGTTCCTGAGAGATGGACTTAAACCATTGGTGGGAGGAACATGTAGTTTTGCTGGGCTGGCAGGAGAAGCTCATTTGCATCGCCTGTGAATAGCACAGACAGCAAAGGGTTTCCTTCTGGTCAAAGTGGGTAGGGTAGGGCCAGGGATGCAGCTCAGCGGCACAGGGCCTGCCTGGCAAGCGCGAGGTCCTGAGTTTGATTCCTGGTGCCAAACCAAGCAAGAAAAAAGTGAGTAGGGTAGTGCTGTACGGAAAGGGCAGGGAGGTGGCTGGACTGACTCTCTTCCTTTGAAGTATGTTTTAAAGAAACAAATACCCACATTACACGATCTTCCTGGAGATGATGAAGTACAAAAGCCATTCTGGCTTTGGGGTTTTAAAAAATCTATATTATCTTTTAGGGGGTATTTAAAAAATCTATCTCATCATCTTGCTATTATGATGTAAACATAGTCCCGGAATACTAAACTGTGTCTAAAATAATTGGCATGACTGTCTGGGTACTCCCTAAATTATGGTTCTCCTATCCTTAGGCAGGGGGGTGGAAAAATAGATACCTAAGAAGATGGTTTTTTAGTGTCTCGGTGCACCATGCTTTTCCTGCTAGCTGGCTGGGTCCCTTGTATTTCAGCCCCTAATGAGCGACACACCTGGTCAGTAAGTCCCTGAATTCAGTAAAGCTTGTGACCTGCCTGGACGCCAGATGCATGTTTTATTCAGTGATGTCCATGTATAGCTGTCAGAGTGGGGCCAGCCCACGACAAACAGGAGAAACCTCCCAGCTGGAGTTCTAAGAACCTGAAAGGTCACCCAGCTCCCGGGTTTTCTCACGTAGAAGAGCATTCCTGTTTCACAGCATTCAGCCAAGCTTTCCCTTTCTGCAGCCTAACAGGACACACTGCCAGTGATGAGTTAAGGAACAAGGGTAATTATGCTGTTTTTCATAGCACTGTGGATGATGCTTAGACTACACTTTAAATACGGGATCTGAAATTGTTGCAGGTGGTGAATGGATGGAACTACGACATCACCTACTCGGTTATCCAAACTAATTGTTCCAAGGAAAAGTTTCAGCTCTTAAGTCCAGAGTGCAAGTCCCTTCCAAACGGCGTAAGTAGGCACAGTTTAATCATAAAGTCCTCAGCGTTGCATTCATGGTGTTTATGGGTGTAGGAACCGCCAAGCTGGGGGGCAAGGCTGGCACTAAAACTCAGGTGACCCTTAGCGCTCCACGCACACATTCGCTTGCAGCTCACCTTGTGGCTTGCTCTTACATGGCTGGCAGAGGAGTCTGCTCACCTCACAATGAGTCTCTGCAGTGTGTGGCAGGGGCTAGGGACAGCTGGAGACAAGTGGTGAAATTGTCACATTGGTCTTTATGACCGCCTACCTCCATACCACCTCTTCTTTCTCCATGCTCCATGACCTTGCAGCGTGCTCTGCCTGTGCAGGGCAGTGCCTCACCTCAGACTCTTTTCCACTTACTGTCTACTCTTTCTTCTCCTGCCCTTGTCTCTAATAAACCATTCTGGGTCTCTGTCCTTTTCTGGTGAATGTACATTGTCCAATGCAATGATGCCAGTTGTGTCTCTCCAGGAGGCCCTCGGCGGGGGGGAGGATGTGAAGGTGACAAGGCAGGGTGTCTTTGTGGGCTACCTACACTTTAACAAAGCTTACCTCACCTGAAGAATTGCTGCAGGTCTGTCATCCAGTAATACTGCTTCTAAAAGTCTAGAATATTCAGAGAGGATGGAAACTCTAGGCCTAAGATATACATTTTGGCATACTTGTTATTGATTGATTGGTTGGTTTTAGAAGTATTGGGGATTGAACCCGGGCCTTACACATGCTAGGCAAGGGCCCTACCCCTGGTCTATAGCCTCAGCCCTTTTAATCTGTTTATTTTGAAATAGGGTCTCACTTAGTGGCACAGGGTGGCGTTGAACTTGAAATCTGCCTCAGCCCCCCAACCAGCTGGAATTCCGAGTGGGCATGCCCAGCTAGCGCTATTTCAATAGAACAACTTTGGAAGTAAATTATGTACGCAATTTGAGGAAGGGGTGGGTAAGCTACAGTACACCCGTACATTAGAATGCTGTCTACGGAGCTGTTAGGGACACAGACAAATGCGTATGATATGCTAGAGAAACCACAAAAAAGTCCATGTAGACTCAGCTGAATTCATGCAAATATATAGAGTATAAGTAATTGTCTGAATGGATGGAGCTTAAAACTACTTTGTTGAAACATCAACCTGATCAGGAAAGAAAGGGCATATGAAATTTTGTTACTTCCAGTCTGTATTTGAAAAACTAGGGCACAGGAAGGAAAAAAACCCCAAAACTTTGATTAACTGGTGTTAAACAAAATACAGGTTTACTAAGTAGGTTAATCCTTTTAACACGGGCCTCCCTTTCATCTTAAAGGTTTCCATAGGAGTTAGTGATTTTACCTTTCAGACATATGTAGCTTTTTCCCTCTTATCAATGTGTGAAAATGGAAGCCAATCACAAGGGCAAATAATGTGGTATTTGTTTGTAACTCAAGTTTCGAAATGTTCTGTAGTATTAAGCAAAGTCTTCTCTTGCATGATACTAAGTAAACTTCTGAAAGAAAAAAAAGTAATTGTAAACATACAAAGTAATGAAAACTAAATATGCCAAAAAAACAGACTATAACTAACATTCAGTTAAGTTTTAGGTGATTTTTCCAGTTTTTCATGTTTTTTGGAATTCCCCCATACTTTCACATTTTCTAAAGTATGCACTTATTTTATACTTGAAGAAAGAAGCAAAAAGGACATAATCAAGACAGGGAACAGACAATCCACAGAATGAGAGGAAAGGTTTGCAGATTGTATCTCTGAAAAGGGTTTAATATGCAGAATAGGCGTAGGATCATTGCAACTTAAATATAAAAAGGCAATTCACTCAACTCAAAAATGCGCAGAGGAACTCAAATAGACCTTTCCCTAGAAAGGCTATGAAAGTTGGCAACCAGTACATGCCAAGATAGTTGGCATCATTAACCACCAGGGAAATGCAAATACAAACCTCACTGCAAAGCCACTTCATGCCTAGTGGTGACTGTCATAGAAAGGGGGCTGATAACAGGATGGGAGAGGTCATGGAGGAAGCAGAACTGTTAAACACTGCTGGGAAGACTGCAAAATACTGCAGCCACTATGGGAAGGGTTTGCTAATTCCTCAAAAAGTTAAACATGAAATGACATAAAATAGAGGCTGGGGAGATAGCTCAGCAGTCTAAGTGCCTGCCTGGCAAGTACAAAGACCCAGTTTCCATCTCCAGTACTGCATGCTGTACACCATGCTGGCCACTGAGATTGGGTGTGGTGGTGCACGCCTGTAATGCCAGCGCTGGGGCGGCTGAGACAGGAGGATCACTAGGAGTCCAAGTTGCGTAATGAGATCCTGTGCTAAATGAATGAATGAATAAGTAAACAAATATTTAAAAATTTATTTTTGAAAAAGAAATGACATAAAACCAACCAATTGCATCCCTAGGTATATGCTAGCAAATAATTGAAAACAGATACTACTTAAGCAAATGCATGGGGGACCGGGGATATAGCTTAGCAGCACAATGCCTGGCTGGTGGGCACAAGGTCCTGTGTTTGATTTCCAGTACAAAAGCCAAAAGATTAACAGCCACAACAAAAATTTAAAAATGCATGTACACTAATGATCTTAGCATTACTATTCATAGTACATACTAGCTTAAGGCTGAAAACAAGCCACATGGGCACCAGCAGATAAAGAAATGAATGAAATCTGATGTGTACACTTCAGTCCATGAAAAGGAATGAGATCCCAGTATATGATACAACATAAGTGAGCCTTGGAACATTATGCTATTGAAATAAGCCAGACACAGAAGCATAAATACTGTATGGTTCTACTTATATAAAATACAGAGAATAAGCAAATTCATAGAGACAGAAGAGATTAGCGTTTATGAGGGGCCAGGAGAAGGCAGCATGAGAATTTAAAGCTAACTGGGCACACAATTTCTGCTTCAAGGAGAGAACACTTTTGAAAGGGCTGGCCAGATAGCTCAACGGACTAAAGTACCTGCTTAGGCAGACGCAGGGGCCAGGGTTTGATCCTGGGCATGCCGTGCTGGTCCCACCCCTGGGGTGTGCTGAGAGAGCAATTGAGACTGGGTGTGGTGGTGCACACCTGTAATCCCAGCACTTGGGAGGCTGAAAACAGGAGGATCACTACGAGTCCAGTAGTGATGTGATACAGAGGTACTAAGGCCCACAGAAGAGCTTTCTAGAATCATAAAGCTAGTGCTCCTTTTCCATTTGAGGCAAGTCTGGCCTCACGAAGCGTTTTCTGTTCGGTCAGCTATGGTTGTGTAGATCTAGAGGTTATGTGGCATTTTAATCTTTCTATACCTGGTTGTAAGGTTTAGTTTAATTATTCCTTTGCAACACAGCAAATTTTTTTTCTTTTTTTCCGGAATCAGGGATTGAACTCAGGCCCTTGCACTTGTCAGGGAAGTGCTTATTCCACTGAGCCATCTCCCCGGCCCCAACACAGCAAAACTGTAGTCACCAAGCTAGCTGGTCTTTTGTATAATTTCTCCGAGACTCCAATTCTTTATAAAATAGGAAATGATACCTGCACCTACCTTACAGAGCTCTGGTGACACTTAAGGGAAACAAAGTGTAAGGGAAGTACTCTGCCCGTGGTCGGCAGGGCTCAAGGCCTTGCTGTTCAAGTGTCCTTCTCCACCCGCTTAACAGAACAGGCATGCCCGGAAGCCTGCTAGAAAGCAGAATCCCACCTCCCCGCCTCAGAATGCACACTATTGAGGTTCTCAGGAGGTTCTAAGTAAAAGCTATGATTTAAAAGATTTTATAAACAGTTCTCAACTCATAAAGATTGTTAAAATCATCTGGCCAGTTGTCTGCAGCCTTTCAAGATTTTTTAAATTTTGAGACAGGGTTTTGCTAAGTCACTAAACTGCATGAGTTAGATTCAAACTTGCAATCCTCCTGCCTCAGCCTCCCAGAGTGCTGGAAGTGCAGGTGGGCACCACTATACCACACCACCTGGCTAGTTTTATTTTTTTAAAGGATATTCCCAAGCATTTCCCCCTGCTCCAGGAAAGAAACATACTGATTTAACTGGACGAGGTACAGGGGCGGGGGGGGGGGAGGGTCACTGCAGACAAAAATATCTAAAAGCTTCTCAGCGAATTAGATGTGCTAATAGAATTTAGAATTACTGGGCTTCTCCAGCATGCTCTTTCCAATTAAAGCATTAGAAAAGTAGCATTTTCTAGATCTTTAAAAAATGGTATTTACTACCAGGCAAAGTGGTATACACTTGTAATCTCAGCACTGGGGAGGTTGAGGCAGGAGGACCACTGTGAGTTCAAGGCCAGCCTAGGCTTCGTAGTGAATTCCAGACCAGTCTAAGCTACATAGTGAGACCCTGCTTCAAAGAAATGACATTTGTTATGTGTGTGTTCCTTTATTGGAAACATACCATTAAAAAATTCAAGATATAAATGGATGGGCCAGGGAGATAGCTCAGTTGAATAAGCACTTGCCTGACAAGCACAAGGGCTTGAGTTCAATCCCTGGTTCCGGAAAAAAAAAAAAAAAAAAGGTAAGAATGGATGAAGATGTGGTTTTCTCGTGTGGTGGAGTACTAGTGTGCCATAAACAAGGATTGGTTTGGAACATTTCCAGGTAAATGGATGCACCTTGAGACCATACAGTTAGATGAAATAAATGGGACACACATATGCAAGTACCACATTGTTTCTCTGGTGGGAGAAACTGAGAGTGTAAATAAGGACCAAAATGGATACTAGGTATTGTGGGGTCGGTGAGACAGCTCAGTGGACTAAGCACCTGCTCAGGCAAGCTCAGGGGCCGGGGTTCAATCCTTGGCAGCGCATGCCACACCAGCCCCACCCCAGGCACACTAAGGCAGCCACCACGACCAGGCGTGGTGGTGCACGCCTGTAATCCTAGCCCTGGAAGCTGAAACAGGAGGTCACTAGGAGTCTGAGCTGCATAGTGAGACTCGGCACCAAATGCATGATAATAATTTTTTAAAAAGATAATATGTATTGTGAAATAGGAGGAAAATGTTCAAATGGGAAGGGAGGTGGGGAGGGGAAAGGAAGGAAAGGAGAAGAAAAAAAATTAGAAAAGAAGGAAAAGCCAGAAGCAAAGCTTTTGTAAACAAGGACAGGAAGAGGAGTTGAGAGGCGAGGAGATGGGGAAGATCCGCACCCAGATACAGCATGTGCAGGTACAAATCCCGCAATGGCTGAGGTCATTGTGTATATCTAAAACGTTCCAACAGTTTTAGTTTAAGGAAAAACTTTGAGATAAAAAAGGAGGGGGCCGGGAAGATGGCTCAGTGGAATAAGCGCTTCCCTGGCAAGCACAAGGGCTTAATCCCTGGTTCCACCAAAAAAAAAAAAAAAAAAGAAAGAAAGAAAGAAAGAAAGAAAGAAAGAAAGAAAGAAAGAAAGAAAAAAAAAAAAAAAGAAGAAAGAAAGAGAAAAAGATAATAAAGGAATATAGAAAAACTGATATTGAACTGCATAGCCAAAGCCATCTGAGTGCTATTTTCCTCTTGTCCTTGGGGTATGGGGTATCTTCGTTGACTTTTTCTGGTTTGATAAGGATGTGATTAATTTGTGGAGTTTGTTGGGGGGGAAATCAGGAATTGAACTCAGGACCTCACGCTTGCCAGGTAGGAGCCATGCTGCTGAGCTTTGGCCCCGGTCCTGCCTGTGATTAACTTACATGCTATTCCCGTGTGTGTGTGTGTGTGTGTGTGTGTGTGTGTGTGTGTGTCTGTCTGTCTGTCTGTCTGTCTGTCTGTCTTTCTCTCTCTCCCTGTCTCTCTCTGTGTGTCTCAGTCTGTCTCTCTGTCTTTCTCCCTCCCCTTTCTTTTACACAGCAAAATTCATTTAACTTTTTTTTGTGGCCTACCATCTAATGTAAAAACAATTAAAATATTTGTGCAATCCTCATGAAAGTATCATTTAAATCACTTGTATCATATAAAAGTCTTCTGTGATCTTATTTTTTATCCATTTGCCTTCTCTTAGATTTATAGTTGAACTTTAAAATTGTCCCACCATAATTATTTCTATTTGTTTTCATGTATCTAATAATGTGTTCTTTGTACCTTTTGATTCTATAGCCTATATCTTTAAATATGTTATTTTCAATTTTACTTTATCTAGTATTAATAACATTCTAATTTGGTTTGTCTCACCTAATTTTGTTTATGCCTTATTTTCTTTATATTTATTTATTTATTTTAAGGGACTTTAGGACAGGGTCTACAGAGTGTACTACGTACAGGGTCTCACTACATAGATCGGACTCCTAGTGATCCTCCTGTTTTTAGCCTCCCAAGTGATGGGATTACAGGGGCGTGCCACCACGCCAGTTTCAATAGTTTAGATAAGATATTATGTCTGCATCTTGTACTATGAATAACTACTATGAAGACAACAGTACGCAATGTATTAATTATTGTAACTGTCCTACTAACCTGTTTTGAAATTGTCTCACTGCTATTTCTTTCTCAATAAAATTAATTTAAAAAAAAATAGCCATCTGCGTGCCCCGGGGGTGGGGCCGGCACTGCACGCCAGGGATTGAACCCCGGCTGCTGTGCTCTGCTGTATGCTTTATTTTAAATTTAAATATATTTTTATT